CGACCCACCGTCACTTATGTCAACAGATGGCCATCAAATGGATAACGGCCTGGCTTGTACGACGGGACAGCCACTGGGTACGCCGCCACGGAGGCTCATTATGTTTGACTGACTGAGGCCGGCACTCAACGTGTGTGTGTGTGTGTCAGCACAAGAAGGAAAGATGTGTGTTTTCTAACAACCCTCATCATTATACAGTGCAGCCTCAGTGATAACACTTCAGCATGTTGGCCCAACACAGCCACTACCACTGCTGCTTCCTTTGCCAGCATTACCATTCAACTGGTCTTTCTCTAGCTAGTGGTTAGGGCTCTCGGCTGACAGCTCATACTAATATGTGTGGTGGTGTGTCAGCCCATACTAATGTGTGTGCAACAGTAGGGGAGAGGTAGCATATAGCAGATGTTAGGAGTGCAAAATAGAGATGGTGGTGTTGTAATGTTGTGGCGTTCCTCTCCCCTCCTCTCTCCTTCCTCGAACACCCTCCTGTTTGCTCTTCAGCTTGCTACCTCCGCTCTTTTCGATTTCCTGCGACATCCGTGGTCACTTGACTTTCAGAGCACATTCTCTCCTCCTCTCCTCTGTATGTGTCTGGGGTAGGAGGGCAGGAACAGCGGCCTGCCTGCCTGCCTGTCTCCAGACCTGCTGACCCGGAGCTTGTTTGCGATGCTGAGGGTTTACTGTGGAGTGCTCGCGAGGATGTGGCTATTCCTGACCTTGAGACGCTGTCGATACCGTAACTCGCTCAGGTTCTCCGTGTTCCCATCGATGGCAATATGTGACACGCTGCGTGTGTGTTTGTGAGACAAAGATGCGCTGCAGCGCTGTGTGTTTGAGAGACAGCACGAGACCGAATAACACAGTGGTAAAAAAAAAAAAAAGAGAGAGATTTTTCATAAACAAATTAATCTCCAAAGTTATGTTGCAGTGAGATTGTGTACAAAATCCCTGAACTGGATTGCAGAGGGGTATTAAGGACAAAAACAAAGCACGCAGGTAGAACTCCCATGGACACACCAGAGAAATACAGGGAAGTCACTCAGTTTGCCAGAGGGATGAGCCGCACTGCTCTGAGCGGCATGGATTCCGACTGTCAGTCAATCTGATTGGCCAGAAAGCGGGATGTGTTTAATCCCGGTTGTTGCTGACTCCAGTGCTCTTGATTCCATCAAATCTGTACCATGCTTTCTATTCAGGACCCGACTCTGCAACACAGAAGCATGAAATCCCATTGTAGCCTTGCACCTCTATTATGAATGGAATTATTTGTTGAGAAATCACTCAACGGGAGTTTTAATCTTTGCAGGTTTTCTATTGTCAGCAGGAATGTGGAGCTGTATCCGACCTCCTGCACTGACAGACTTGAGAGGAGAGCTAGCAGTCCGGAGCTGGCCGACGGGTGTTCTGGGTGGTTTCTCACTGTCTCCATGACTTCTTTTTGCTTTTATCTCTTTGAAGAAAAGAAGAGTAAATGTTCATTGATCTTGGCCGGTGGTCAGCCTGGTTCTAGCAGGAGATGGGAGGGCTGGTGATGTGCAGGTTGCTGCAGCTGTTGGCTGGAGACTCGGGAAGCCAACATCAGCTTTATTCGATCAAAATGTGTCAGAGAGCGTTTCGACCTTGATGTAACCTTAATGAGCCCACTGGGGACAGTACAGCGGCGTTCGCCTCAGGTTGACGGACGCCGTGGGGGTCTGAAGACAAACGGAGGAAGAGACGCGAGAGGCCGAGACAATATGCTGCAAAATAGAGAAAAAGAGGAACACTGAGGCAGAGAGGAAGAGGGAGAAGAATGGAGCTGAGACGAGTAACGGTTCTAACCCCTCGTCTCCATCTTGCACCCCAGAGAGCAAGAGCTTATTCAACAGGCTCAGACAAAGGAGGAGTGTGGAGGGACTGTGGGAGACCAGCACTCTAAGAGAATCACAACAAAACAGACACACTGACGGGCTGGACAGGCAGGATGGAGGTACTTGTGTCAGGGAACAATCCTCAACAAATAGAATCTTTCACTTTTTCCCCATAGTCTTTCAGTAACCCTAGAGGAAAATTGCCAGATCAATAGCGTTCACCAGCACATATGCCGGTACGGCATAACGCTACAAAAATAAGGACAGCCAACTTTTGCAGAAAATGGAGTAAAGAAGACGTGCTAATGCTTAGGTTTGCTCATTTTGAACGCAATCAAATATTTGGGCATAACGATTTCATGTCGGGATTCTGCACAGCACCGGAGAACATTGTTTACTGGGCTTGATCATGAAGGAAAAAAATGCAGCCTCCGGCAATTTGGACATTGCAGCAGTCGATATGGTGATGTCAGTTGTTTTTTGATTCATTTTGCGGCCTTAATATAACACAGGCTGGAGCACACGTACACACCGGTGAAGACAAAATAAAAGCTTCAGGTCTGAAATCTTTGCGGGGCTTATCGTTCCAAAAAGATGCTGCCATAGCAACGACACACACTCCTTGCAAAAAAAAAAAACAGACCGGCTCCCTTTGAACCAAATGAGAAAGAGAAACAAATGAATACACGAATGAGGAATAAAGACAATAAAAGGAGGCACGCGGAGGATACATGGTCTTACAAAAGCATACTTTCACTGGCGGAGAAGTCCAAAAATATCACTGATTTAATGGGCAGAGAGCAGTGGCCCACACATGTGAACAAACATGTAACAGACGGGGTGATGACATACGGAGAGCAGTGCTCAAGGGAGGAGGCGGCCTATTCCCCATTGTAACCAGCTTGTTGCCAATTACCAAGCCTTGTTATATACAAAAGAGCCTCCGTTAAAGAGTTCGTCCATTTAATCAGCTTTATTTTCTCCTAGAGAAGCAGAGAAAAACAGGTTTTGGTGAGGGAGTTTAGTATTAGTAGTAACACAGACATCATCACAGCAGAATATGGTGAAATATTGAGCGTGGTCCCTACAATTATTCAATATTTTGTCAATTATACAACCACTAACTGTACTGTCGGAATCCTTCAAGTGAGCTGACAAGTGGAAGACAAAGTCCCGCTCTTGGGGAAACAAAACCATGCCAGCAGCCCTGAAAACACATTTCTGCACCTTCAAAGCAATAACTGACACATTGTTTCCTTCCTCTGCTTCTCGTAACAAAAGGCCGATACAAACAACAGCGCCTCCCTCAGGACTCGTGTATTCAGCCAGCCTTGGTTTTACTAATTCATTTCGACTTTGCTAAACAAACATTTAATTTTACCAGCGCTCATCTGACGGGTCTCCAGCTCTCCAGTCAACACGTCAGCTGCCATACTGCTGAAGATTTTTTACACAGATGACATCTCTCACCTAAAATTAGCAGCAACTGCTGTCAGCTCCACAGTCAGAAAACATCCTAACACACTGGGGGAGCTGCTGTCACTGATTCATCTACGCTAAAAATAAATAGCAAGGGCTAAAATGAGCTGCAGTGAACGGACAGGTAGACATTTTAAGCACTGTGTTAGTGTGATTGTGCGTGATTGTGATGGCTACTTCAACCCACCCTGTCACAACACCAGCCTGCATCTGTTGACTGCTTAGCGACCCGCGCTGGGAGCCATCAATCTGCCCGACAACACGCTTTGAACGCTTTCAGCTCCATCTGCCTCCAGCTTTGCTGCACCTTTGCCGGAGATGGATGGCACCGAGCAATGTCTTCGGGGGCCTTGCCTTGCATTTGGTTGGGACACACACACACAGATACAAAACAAGAACGAGTGTGTGTACGGGCCTTTCCAAAGCTACCCATCCTGTGTTTTTCTTTTAGATTGTTGTAAATCAGCCGCTGATCCCCAAGCGAATAGAGAACACGCCGTATTGCATTGCTGCAGAAATACTCCACGATGCGACTCCCTCACACACACACACACACACTTTCCCTCCCACTCTGTGTGTACATATTCCTCTCTCACATTCACTCCACACACCGCGTTGGCGTGCCACCTTTATCCCCCTCAAACCTCTCCACAGGTCTTCAAAGTTTCCAGCCAGCCGCCATCAAGATAAATAACAACTCCTCTGTGACAACATCTACTTAGCACAAGGACAGTCACACACCCCCACCCCCACC